AATTAAAAACTAAAATTTTGTTTAAAACAAATTTTAACACTGATAACTAAAACTATTTACTTATTTAATTATATTAAAATTATTTTTGTCCTTATTTCCCTAATAATCATAATAATATATTGTAAAAATATGTTAAAGTAAATGAGTTTTTTTTTTTTGTTTAGAATTGCAAAATTTATAAAAGCTAAAATTAAAAATAAAAAATCACAATCATATTAAATGGAATCTTAATTTATCTTACCATGACGTGCAAAAACATAGTTTATGTTATTTTTGGACATGGTTATGGTCATTAATAATAATGTTATAATCACAAAAATTATAAAATATTATATTTAAAAATACTAATTCTATTTAATTCAACTAATAAAAATAATTAATAACTGTAATTATTAATTAACTGATTAATAGTTAATATAGGATTTATTAATTAATAAATTAAAATCAATTAACAAACTAATACTTTTAAATATTATTTTAAAAAAAACTAAAATTTTAATGAGCCCGACAATATTAATAATGATAATAACTAGATACACTATTTCTATCGTTAATAATTTCATGACTGCACCTCGCGCCACTCATTATGCAGTTTTACTTTTGCATCATTTGCCTGCATTTTTTTGGGCATTTTGTTGCAGTTGCATGGGAGTTTCATCGTTGATTTGGTTGTTTGAATGGTTAAGAAGGTGGGATTTCATATATATTTTCCAGCTAAGGCTAGTAGTAAACATGATATGATAGGCTGAGGAACCTTGTACTTTCGTAATAAATTTCAATTTCTTGATTGTCTAAAATTAAAATAAAAAATAGAATTGACCTTTTTGATCCAATAATTTGTTCTCAAACCTAAGTGTAAAGTGTATGGGTGTAGTTGATTGAAAATTTGATTCATTTAAAAAAAAAAAATCCCCTCTTCCTAAATTCTCCCATGTTCAAAAAAAAAATAATATATGTTTTAATTTGATATATTTATCAATATCTATCAATTCTAACATTAAATTTTATAATTAAAATTTTTTGTCTTAAATTTAAATTTAAAAATAATAAAATTTTAATAAATATATTATAGAATAAATTAAATCAAAGTTATTAATCATTAGTTTAAAATAAAGCAAAACAAAATAAAACAATTTTTTGTGATTCGTCCCAAATTTTAAGGCGTTTGAAGTAGTTGGTCGCGATTTCAAATTCACCAACACTTTGAAAAACCCCCTTCTTACAATCCCCTAAATTGTAAACGATTAAAATAAATAAAACACTTTTTTATGGCCTTCATTTTTCTTGCTCTTCCTTTCATTTTACTTCCGAGCTTATTCAGATACTAATTAAAATGCGACCCCACTTGTCACAAATCAACTACTGACTACCGTGTTTTTCTATGGGATTCTCTTATTTCCTCACATTGCAACTGCTGACTACCGTGTTTTAGGTGCTCTTATTTCCCACTCTTTACCGAGACTTATTTTCCCAAATGCTTCCACGTTCTTTCTTTCCGAGTTACAAGTTGATTCCCCTTACCACCATCTTAAGTTTGACGGAGCATTATGATAGTCCTTTTGTTTATTTTTAATAGATTTTGTTTAATTTTTTCGACTTTTTAAATATAAATTTTAAGTAAAAATTTAATAATTTATATAATCAATAATTGAATTTTTTTCCTTTTTATAAGAAATTCTTGTTAAATACTTTAATTTTATAAAAAAAACTTAATTATTATTTATATAATATGTTAAAGTTTTATTTAAAATTTATGTCTAAAAAATTAAAGAGTCAAACTAAAAATCTTCTAAAAATAAATAGAGAGAGTAGCTTTTAAGAGTGTGCTTGGTTGCGCTACCCTAGAAAGCATTTTTGGGAAAGTTATTGTTTTATTTTAAGTTGGATTGGTTGTTGTGGGTTGAGGGGTTGATGAATAGCAACGAACATGCACTACTAAAATGCTTAGCTTTAGCAACATGGAAACATGTTGCTGAAAGTGGTTCCCATGTTATTGAAAGTCCTTCAGCAACATGGATTTGCTTGCTAAAAGTTTTGTTGAAGAAGGCTTGGTGGGTAATAAATTACCAACCAAACTCTTGTTGCTGATATATCAGCAACATGATCTATGTTGTTGAAAATATAGTATCAACAACCTAGCTCATATTGCTGAAAGAGTTGGCCGGAATTCGGTGGAAGTTGGGGTGAATTGTCTCACCCCCTTCAGCAACATAGGCCACGTTGCTGAAGATAGAGTTTCAGCAACGTGACTCATGTTGGTAAAAATTAACAAAAATCTATCTAATTTCCGACATCGAAATTTTGTGACATTTTCAGCAAGAAAAGCCACATTGCTAAACCCTATCTTCAGCAACGTGGCTTATGTTGGTAAAAGTAGAGGGGGGATAGTGGTTTTACACTTTTCAGCAACATAATCCTTGTTGTTGATTGTGTACTTTCACCGGCATGCTCCACATTGGTAAAAAATGGTTGGTTTTCGGTTCCTCCATTTTCAACAAACAAAGTCACGTTGCTAAAACCATATTTTCAGCAAACAAAGCCACGTTGCTAAAACCATATTTTCAGCAACGTGGCTTGTGTTGCTAAAAAAAGGAGGGGGGAGAGTACCCCAACCTTTCAGCAACATACCTCTTGTTTCTGATTTTCAATTTTCAGCAACAATAGCTATGTTGCTGATATCCATTATTTAGCAAGATAATTCTTCTTGATGATATTCAGGGAAAATAATTACCCAATATTTTCAGCAACATGCCTCTTCTTGCTGATGTCTCATTTATATAATAATAAATATATTACATTAATTTTTTATTATTAGTATCAAATTTAATAAATTTATAGTATTTACATATAAAATTT